ATTTTCTAAAAAAAAATAGAAACAAATGGGAATGATCAAATTGATTAAGTAGGGTTTATTCCTTTTTCCAAAGAAGAGCATAGATCTATGGAATACTTGCAATGGCATTAAGAGCTGTTCTATTGGAGCTATTTTTAACAAACCTATGACTGATGAAATTAACTTTATCATTTGCTAACCCAAAAATATTGCTACTCCCAGTTTATCAAACATAATCTCCCATGAATCATTTATTAACAAAGGGCCTCAGGAAGAAGGGCTACAGGGCTTCAAGATTCTCTTGCCCAAAAAATTATGAGATAAAGAGTAAGTATTGGAAACTGTTCCACTGGAAGTACGCAGGAAATACTGAAATACAGCATATCTTGGCTGATAAGCAACTTGCCATGTTGTAAACCTAGCCAAGTCCAGAAGGCAAGGAGGAGGAGTGCAGTTGGGAGTGCGCTTGAAATTATTCCTGTCATCGAGATGACAGGACATAAAGCATAAAGAGAGAGGGGAGTTGTCATTTAAAGAGTCAACATATCAGCCTCTAGTCCTGGAATGATCCAGAAGAGAGGACCTTAAAACCACAGGTTCAAAAAATAATAGTTTTGCACACAAGGGAGGTAACTACATCCTGCAGCTCAAACATAGATGAGGCTACCTTCATATGCTTTTAATTTATTATAATCATTAACAGATTAACAGTTCAATTTTCACAGTCCACTGAGAAGAAAGAGTAACTTCAATCTTAAATGGCAGAATCCCAGATGAAGTAATCTAATCGTGATTTTAAAAAATCATTTGTCAATGAGATATGAAAATCAACTACCGTTTTACAAAGAAACTAGAGCATCACGTTTTCACTACTGAGTCATAAACCTGTGCACTTTGCTCCAAAGGGAGCATCAAACAGTTGAACTGCACCCCCCTCGTTCAAAACCACTCCCTTCTCTGATATCCTTTATTTCCCTATTACTGCATTGAGGAAAAACTTTCCCTATTACTGCATTGAGTAAAAAGGCAAGAGCAGAAGATGGCATAAGATAAATATTTAAATTAGATGTCCTTCTTCTTTCTGCCCAACTGCCTTTCCCTTCAATGACATGTTTCTCAGTTTCACAGTAATATTTCTGGAACAATGATATACTTTAAGAAACATGAATGTTTTAAGTTAGCTTAGGCCTGAGTAAGATATGAATAAGAGAGAGAGGGAAAATGAGGAAGAAAGAAGACAGAGACTTCTTTAAGTATAATTTCATAGCCTGAAAAATGGCCCCTTTCAGTTTTTCTTATGCACAACAAATATTGACTGTTCAAAATTCATGTATGTGGGAAAAAGTGGCAAAGACATCCACCAAACACAACTCTCATATGTGGTTACACTAAAGGACTAACCCAGCACCCCAGGAATTAGAGCATATGAAAATGTACTATAGATTTAACAAACCACCAACATAATACACTATATTCAATTCATATGACCTAACAAGCGTCAGGTCACTCTCTACATTTGTTTTGATAATAGAAGAAATGAAAATGCAATAAGAATAATTCTCATTAGAACATTAAAGATGACCCGCTGTTCTTAGAATGTCTATGTGGAAAGTACATTTTTGATGTGGACTCTCAAAACCTGAATTGGCAGGGGCAGTGGGGGGAAGCGGCACAGTTGAGAGGAAGAAGTAACAGACACTGCGTTCATCCCACACTGGCCCAGTTCAAGCCAGATTAAACCAGTTACATTACAGTGCATCACATAATCCTCTTTACTAAGAATCTTTGCAAATGAGAGGAAACAGGAGATGCCATTCCATCTAACTTCAAATGTTCATTTCCTAGGATTTTTTCATACTGAGCTTTAAATTGAGTCTGAAATTATCTTATGTAATAAACGTTTGTGCCTACTGAGTTTTGAGTTTACAAAAGTGATTCATTTAAGCATAATCATTATCTTCAATGGGGGATATATCTGATATGGGAACAGACACAGCGAACAGCATTTACACTATATTATGAGTAGAGAAATAAAGACTGTTATTAAAACACATAAGTAGGGCATGTAACATGTCTCAGGGTGAGAGAAAGCTTCCTGGAGCAAGCCAAAGCTAAGCTGAGATCTAAGGGATAAATAGCAGTAGATCAGCTAAGGGGAAGATGAAGGTTCTTTAAAGAGAAGAAACAATGTATGTGCAAAAAAGGGCTGTCTTGGTTCTTCATGCTCCAATGCTGCTGTTATTTTAATTTCATTTTCATTTTTTTAAGAGAGATTTTTGTCATAGGGCACGTGTACTCACCGGAGAGATAGAGAGAGACAAAGAGACAGAAAATAAGAAATTTCCCCCTGAGGGAGGATGGCCACGCCACAATAATTTTTCTCCTCTTGGGATTTTGGGCATGCATGCACATACGCCTGGTATGAGTTTTAAGACACTGGGTCCAGGACTTGAACTGCGGTTGACTACGTGGGAGTACAGTGATGTAACCATTACACCATCCACTGGTCCCCTTTCTTTTTAATTTAAAAAATAAATGTAGCAAAAGGTGACTTCAGGCTTTCTTTTATGCCTTTAGACTTTAAGTACAGTGTATTATCTTCTCTTTTTTTAAAGAGAAATTTTTTACTTTTTTTTGAGTTAGTCCTTTTTTTAATTAAATTTATTTATCTACATTCATTCACTGTACATCATTACAACAAAGTGAGATTTTCCATCCAGAGTACACTGTATATTGGCTCAATCAAGCACATTAACATACATGTTATCGTCAACAAATAATTTTCCATTTCTTGTGTTCTGTATGTTTTGCTTTTTTTTTTTCCCGTCCTTGATTTCCTATCTCTTACCCTCGGCCATCTCCCACTCTCCTCCCACACTGTCTCTGGTATCTATGTTTGCTTTCTATACTTTCCTCCACCCCACATTTTATTGAGTCACTAAAGATCTTAATTAATCTAAATATTTTCATAGCAAGCACAGCTGATATATACATTTTCATGAACACAAGTCCAACTTTAGGCATAAATCTTAGTGAATAGAATGAACATCCTATAAAGTAGCACCTAGCTGGCGCTATATATCTTACTGCAGGCATCAAATAGGTATTTTTAATGCCTTTTTTTTTTATTTCAAGAAAAAGTTTTAGTTTTTTTCCTGAAACTTTTTTTAACTTAATTTACATTCTTTCCTTAAACACCATCACAGCATACAAAATGTGATTTCCCATCCAGAATATACTGCATAGTGGCTTAATCATGCATATTATTATAAAAAATTTTCCATTTCTAGTTTCTAGAATTTTTTTTACCCCCTATTTCTGAACCTCTGTGCTTTCCCACCCTCTTCTCACACTATCTCTGGTGTCTACAGTTGTCTGCCATTCCCCCCCACCCCCCACATTGTATTGATCACATAATTTCTTTAATAATCTAATTACTTTCAATAGCAAGTTCCCTTGGTACTATTAAGAAAACCAGTTTTAACTTAAATCAAAGAAATGCTAAGGAACTTTGCTTAAAGCCAGGAAACAGGTTAGGATTCTGTTCAAATAGTAGGTACATGAACCTATCCATATCTCAAGACAGGACACAAATCCTTACAACCAGTTAACAAAGTCTACAAGAAAATCAGCAATGTTTTAGTTAAAAGTCATAAAATTATACTTCACCAATTCAATCTCATGTACTTTATCTTCTGTTGTAGTTCAATTTTCCTGATTAAATTCTGGGATAGA